CCGGGGGAAGGACACTGGACAGTTGTTCTTGTTTGCTTCTCCAGATGCGAAGTCTAACCTGAATTCAGAGCACTGATGGGTGTGCTGACCCACTCTTCAGCATTGCCCATGGTGGTCTTGGCAGTGTGTTTCATGGAATGCAGTGTTTGGGCTCATTCTCTTCTTCAGACTTGTCCTTGGACCTGCTTCACCCAGTGCTAGCAGTGCCCCAGACTCCTTCTGCTCTTAGAATACAGCTCTTAGATGTGATGATGTCCTTCACCTCCCCCACCTTTCATTATTTTCTGTGTGCTGCTGGCAGGAACACTTGGCATTTGACTTGCCCTCCTAACAGTCATGTTTTTCTTGGAGCTCTCAGAGATAGGATTTTTCCCAGCCTGCATGAATTGCTGTTGTTTCTATAGAGTCAGCAGTACAATAGTCCCTCCTGGGAGCCAAGAACTTGTCTGTCTACTGGCTCCAGCTTACAAAGACTCAGTCCTGCATGCTTAACATTACCCTTTGATTTTTGGGATTAGCGTTTTGACTGATGGCAGGTGAGAAAGCAGAACGGTGCAGCACAAAAGGAAAGAAATCAATTAAGTTTACATTGCAACATTCACTCAGGGCCGGGTTAAGGCAAACTTCTCTGCCTTAGAGGAGCAGGAATTGGGTACAGGACGTTGTTGGCACTGGAAGCAGTGAGCAGACAGCAGTCTGTCATAGAAGTGACAACGACAATGGAGACGGTCTGTCTTTTTAATATGTGTACTATCCATGTTTCGTATAATTCACAATATAGCAGTTAATGTCTCTGCACTATGGGTTTCTTTTTTTTAAAAGTTGGCTTATAGGTTCTCAGTCTCTCTCAGCAGAGTAGGTAAAAACTGAACTAAGGCATATTAGTCACATTTTTATCAAGAGATGAAAGTGATAGAGATACAAAGTACTATCAGCTTTTAATTAAAATTGAATAAGTAAAAAAGAGTTGGCAGTTGCAAAATTCATTATGATGCATTACCAAAAATAGATACCTTTATGAGAATGCAGTTTTATTACAACAGTGGGCACTAATTAGCTGTAAACATCATTGCTTAGATAGCCAGACAGAAAACGTGTTACTAATACTCGTAACAGGTTTCAGTTGGCTGGAATGGAAAACTAGAAACTCTTAAGGCTCTTAAAATGCAACCTCTCAGACTACCAAGACAGATGTATGTATTTCTGTTACTTAAGGCAACATCTGAATTTCAGGAACAATAACCTAGTGTTTTCTGCATCTGGTTTTAATTTGCAAGGAAAACTTAATTTTACAAAAATGTAACCTGGCTTAGCTGAAACATGTATGACCCGGTGTTTTTATTCTTCTTTCTACAGAACAGTCAGAGTTGCGAGTTTGATCCTCCAAACTTAATAAAAACCTCTTCCAATATGAGTTTACATGTACAGACCTACAGTTTAGAGCACTTTACTGACCAGTTCAGAATGTATGTGTGTCTTGCATAATCTCTGCAAAATTTACAGTAATTGAAAAAAGTTATTTTCCTCTCTCCTCCTGTAATCTAGAACATCAAGCAATAACAACAAATCTGTGGGTGGTTTATCTGATTTATGCGAATTTGCTATTGACATGTTTGAGGTATCACTTGCATCATCCCAATCCTGCATATGTATTACTAAAAATATTAGCTGCTTATGAAAAGGAAGCATTTTAAATAATTATTCGCTTGTGCTGTGATAACCTCTTGAAACCAGGGCCCCAGTCTGGTAGACTGCATACAAAATCATTGCAAATGAAGTGCAACCTGAAGTGTTTAAGATAAGCTTGCAGCAAGTGGACAATTTGAATCCAGGAAGAGTAATACATCCCACCTACAAGGAGTGGGTCTCTACTAATGGAATTTCAGTGATGAAGCGTGAGGCATCTAAATCACCTCCAAAGCCAGTACGAGAAAGAGGTAAACCCAGCCTGTGATTTAGCTCACACTATTTAGAGACCTGAGGCCTTTGGGGAGACTCAAGCGCTAGTACCCAAGCTTGAGCTTGTATTTTCAAACCTGGATGCTTCAGCATAGTCTCCTAAATTCTTACGTCTATACCTGAGGAAGCAGGCACAGAAGTGATGAGGGAAGTGGTGGCTCCATAGCTGTCAGAAGGTGCTGTGCGAGGTGAACACTCGCCCAGAAGAGGCCACTTACATGCCTAAATTGGAGTGCTGAGCTTTGAAAGTAAAATCACAGGCACAAGCCTCACATTTTAAAACTTTACCCACCTTTCTTGGCACCTACATATTGATACACAAAAATTATCGTCCTTTGTAAACAATCACCTGTCCTAGATCTTTCTAGTACTGCTGCGTTGTGATTTCATTGACTGACGTGATGTGCTGGTCCACTGGAACTACTTGCCAAATTCATGAGTTGAAACAAAGTACAACATGGAAAAATGTGAGTTTCCAGATGTTTACGTCAGGGAAGATTAGAGCTGCAGTATGTCAAAATTTGCAGATACATGAATTTTAGGAAATTCTGAATCTCTTGTTCTTTGTTGGTGTTACTCATAGGAAAAAAAAACAGTGTGGTATTTAAGTAGAGCAGCCCATGCAGAAGCTGTCGCCTACCAATGACTGGAATATTGTTTAGCCTTGCTGTCTCAGTGGGATTTCACCCATTGGTTTGTATTTCAAAAGCTTTAGTAAAAAAACTACTTTTACCCTCAAAAGCTGTGTTTTCTTCAAAATGCTGTGTGTTTATGATAAAATAAACCTTATATATGAGCAATCTAAGAATAATATGTGACAGGTTTTCTTTTCTGAGAACTGGTAACTGATGCAAGTCTTTTTCTGATGTCTATACCATTGCGCTTTGGGTTTTTACAGTTAAATTGTGTCCACTTATTCCTTCTGATTTGCGAATGTTAACTTTTGTTAGAGGGTCAGTGTCTGATAAAGGTATGTTAATATTCTTGGAGATGAAAGCCTTAAAATTATTGTAGACATTGGACATTTGAACCCCTTTTCCCCCTGCATCCACACCCTGTTGATTGAATGAGGCCTTAGTAACAGAAACAGAAATGCCCTTGATGCTTGCCTGAGTATTGCCTAAGTGTTTGCAGGAGTACCTGGGTCAGAAGCATTCCTGAATGCTTGGAAAACTCTTGATCTATTGGAATGGAGAGAAGGGCAAGCTCTGTTAAGGAGGAAGGGAAAATATGCAAATAAAACCGGCATAAGGAGAGGTGCTGTGGTGGAGCGATGGCTGCAACACTGATGCCAAGAGTACTTTGACCAGAGATGTGCTGGCTCACATGGCAGTGTGCTCAGTCTAGACTGGGTGTGAGAGACTGTGATTGCTCCAAGAGTAATGTCTGCTGTTATCATCCGGAAGGTGATGGCATTATACAGGCATGCAGGACTGACCGTAAGTTAGGACACACTGGTTGTTAACAGATGTGGAAGACTGAATACCAGGGATGCAAAGATGCAAAGATCGGCTGATAGTGTGGAATAGCAGCAAAGGGAACCAAGGCTGAGACTTTGTAGAAGGCAAATCATGAAGTAACTCTAAACCCTCCGTGTTCACTTGTGTTTCCCGCTGCTCCCTTGGCAGTCAAGGCCAACACAGGCCACTGAAGGATTTCATGCTCTCCAAACCCTGTGTTACAGAATCACAGAATCACAGAATGTTAGGGGTAGGAAGAGTCTTTTTGGGGTCAGCTAGTCCACCCCCCCTGCCGAAGCAGGGCCACCTACAGCAGGCTGCACAGGACTGCGTCCAGGCGGGTCTTGAATATCTCCAGAGAAGGAGACTCCGCAACCTCCCTGGGCAGCCTGTGCCAGTGTTCTGTCACCCTCAGAGTGAAGAAGTTCTTTCTCATGTGTTGCTACAGTGCAAACTAGCTTGTGCAGCTAGAGAGGACAATGTTCTGTTTAGCTTGGGACACCTTGAGGACTACATCTCAGGGCGCTGCTGCAAAAACATTGCAGAACTACCCCAAAGGAATGGAAAGTTATGGCAGGTGTGAAGTTTGCTATTAGCAGATAAGATTTAAAGATAAACAAATGCATTCAGCTGAAAACCTCGATTCACAATAACAGAGCAAAGTTAGGAAAAGATAACCTGTATACATTTATTAAGGTTATACTTATTAACATATACCCTCCTTAGCTGCTCCTGTGTCTCAGCTTTTGACTCTGGCTGATTAGTTTCTGGATGGAACCCTGGGCTGGTGCGCCCCTGGGTACGCAGAGTTGCTTACACCTTGCCTTCTTCTTCTGGTAAAGGTGGGGACCTGCATCTTCTCTAGCTCAAGGTGGATTTCTTCCTGTTTGCCCCTCATTCCCTGGCATTGGGCCATCAGGTGTTTTCTGGGAGATTTCAGTATTTCATTCTGCCCCTCCTCCTTAAGGTTACTTCAGTAATGTTTCTGTTGTCCATCTCAAGTAACACTTTCTTGGCTTTTGTTTTTCACTAATTATAGTCTTGTTAAAATACAGTGCCATCACTTGACAAATGATGCGTTATGATAAATAGTACAAATTCCTTTTAAAGTACATACTGTGTATACAGGCTGTATAGAAAGCCCATTTATGACATTCAAACTCAAACTGATCTTCAGGGTAGGACTGCCAAATCTGCTAAAGCTCCAGCTCATCCTTTGTTAGATTTTGGGGACTCATCTGCATGTTGCTGTTTTTCGATGAACTAGAACAGGGAAAACCAAAGGCTTTGCATATATTCAGGGCAGCTTGCTTTTCTTCCCAGCCCTCCTTTCTAGCGTTGGCTATAAATAGCCACACACACACAAGTGGTTACTATTTAAAAATGCACATTCTCTAGCAGAGACTACAGTACAGTATTTTTTGCAGTATCTTGTTCAGGGAGCGGTACAGAAATATGTTGTAGCATCTTAGATACCATTGTGAGATAATGCTTGGCAAATGCTAGATTTTATTTGCTTATTTTAAGTATTTGCTATCTATATTAAATATTAAATGAAAATTGTCTTGTTTCCCCTTACAGTTTGTTATCGATCAGATAATGAAAATGAGGCCATTGAACAAATCGATGAAGATATAGCCGTGACTCAGAGTCAGATGAACTTTATTTGTCCCATTACACAGGTATGCTATTGCTGCTACTCTAATCGCTTGGGAAATAGATATTTCGTATCCTCCATTGGATTGTTTATTACAAACCTGCAATACTTGTTAAAAATCAGGCAGTGCATATTATAAGTATTATCAGAGAAGAGCAACATTGCTTGGGGAAAAAGTCCATGTAAGTAGGGATGCAGTTTGCCATGCCGGACCTGACCCCATAATTTCAGTGGAATGCCGTGTACGACTGGCAAACACACTTTCTGCTGTTTTAAGTAAAAAAGAAGCATTTTCATATTTTTACATAAAAAGAAGCATTTTCATGGGCATTATCAGTTCCTTTAAATCAAACCTTATTGTTTACAGATGGAAATGAAGAGGCCAGTTCGAAACAAAATCTGTGGACATACTTATGAAGAAGATGCCATTCTAAAAATTATCCAGACTCGAAAGCAGCAAAAGAAAAAAGTCCGGTAAGCTAACAAGAATGTGTGGAAAAGCTATTTGCTTTGCTGTGTAAGTGGAATTTTACTCCGCTTGTTCTAGGAAATGTATTTGGATTGGCAAGGCTGCAGGAAGTAATCCTTCAGCGTCTGCCCAAGTCACAGTCTCTTCATTAGTACTGTACACGTGAAGGAGCTTTTCTTTTTAATGAAAACAGTGTGTAAGGAAATACTCAGGAAGTACATGGGAAAGTTACAGCTACTCCTGGTACCTGCACAACAGAAGCAAAGACATTCCATATAGCCAGGAACAATAAAGAGAAGCTTCAGCTTCCTAAAATTTAGTTGCTCATTTTGTTCTTTCTGATTATTGAGCAAGCCCTGAAGTTAATGAAAAAAAAACAAAACCCGTCTCCTCTGTGCACCTTCTTTTGCAGTTATATTCCAAAACAACTGAGAAATATTCAAACACTTAAATGAATGTTAAAGTAACAAATAGTAAAACACCACTTTTTAGGTGGTACAGAGTTTAGGAATGATCAGACAGAGCTTTAGGAATGATTAGACAGGATTGTGCAGTTCCTGCTACGATGCAATTAAATAATTCTTACTTTATATCATTAAAGCAGCCTGCCATTTTCCACACAGGACATTTTTTTTTGAATGAAAAGATGTTTGTTGAATTTTTAAACCTGAAATTCTCCCCGGTAAGTTCCAAATTTAGGATGGTTTTGATTCAAAAAAAAAAAAAAAGAAAAGAGAAGAAAAGGGGCTCAAACACTTTTTAGAGCAAGCGTAGAGGACATATCATTTCGTCATTAATTTCATATTTGTTTTTACACCATATATGCTAGAGCCTTATGCTTTGGGGTTGATGACCTCATGGAAACTTACCAGTTGTGTGGCCTTTTTAATAAATGTGCAGTTCGCAGCGGCTCAGGAAGGTCTGTCAGAGACTAGCAACTTGATTTCCCCAAAGATAATGCCACAGGCAGCTTACTTCCTCCGTCCGTTGCTCTTGCGTTTCCGTTAGACTCTACATACTCTGCCATGGGGATACGAAGGTGGAGAGGAACTTTTTATTCCAGGCTCCTTCCTGGCTACGGGAAAGCACTGCTATGCAGTCAAGCACAGATTGGGATGTCCAGCCACTACCTTTGTATCAAGGCAGCTGGAAGAACAAGACAGAATTACCTTGCCTCTGTTATGAGCTTTAGGGAGAAAAAGTGGAGTGGGTGCAATTTACTGGGAACAACAACAAAACCAGTAATGTGGATGGACAGAAACTTGGCTGGAAAAATGAACAGGAGTTGGGAAATAACTCACAAGTTGTAAAGAAGAAAGCGAGTACTCTGGAGGATAGGGACAGGCGAGGAAGCATGTGCTCAACAGCCCAAAACCCCAACAAAAATACCTTCTGCAATACAGAACTGAAGTTAGGGTGTTTGTATCTAAATAATTCTCTGCGTTGTTAAATTCATCAGGAAAATGTCACGGTAGTAGAGACTGTTGTGGTGAATCAAAAGTTTCAGCACTGCTGAAAAACTAATAAGGTCACATGATTGAATTTTTATTTTACATTTTAAGAAATTAAAGACTTGGAGAAAATATAAAGAAAATCAAGTAAGCTGTACAACATTTGGCTTTAAAAGCTACCTTATACCCAAAATGAAGTTATTTGTGCAGTCTGAATCCTGGCAGTTCTCAATTTTGAGCTTTTAGCTTGCAGCTGTACTATTTTTGCAGTAGTTTCTCCGGTATGCTAGAAACGCACAAGCACAGCAATAACTCGGCTTCTCTGTAACTAAGTGAAGACAGACTGCTTGGTTTTCTCTGCCCAATCTCACCGATCTGCTGTAATTTTACGGTAGTCTGCTGTGGTGGGAAGAGAGGCCAGCTGGTGCGACAGGTTCCCCATTTGAGTACCCCCTTCGCGTGGGCACTTCACTGCGCTCCTGCCAGCACTGTTCAAGTGGAAGCAGATATCTTGATAGAGCAGCGTCGTGGTTAGGGGGATCCTCTCTACCCTGACTCTGAAATCAAAGCCGTTGCTCATTCTGGAGTTACAGAAGTGGCTGTTTCCTCACATGTACTTTCCAGTTGGAATCCGCGAGATCCCTTCGGTGCACTTGGCAGTGCGCTGGCTGGATGTCAGACCTTCAGCTGACGTAGGCACAGCCACCGGGTTTGTGCTGATAGACTCAATAGATTCCTTTAGGCAACTCTTACGTGTCTCGGTTTGCTCACTATTTTCCGCTGCCTGGAAGGACATAGTAATCCTTTATGCCTACAGGAAACGTGGCAAGCTTTCTGAGCACTTGTTATTCATTAATCTGGCAAGCTATTGCTCTAATAAGATGATAAATGAGAAAACTGAGGCACAGAGCAATTAAGTGACTTATCCATGACAAACACAATAAGTTGTGGACAAATCTGGAATAAAAGCTGTGAGTACTGAGGGTAAACAAGTGCAGCGCCTCAGACAAGAGTTACTTCTAATAGAGGAAAAATTCAAGAGAAGTGTTATTTCTGACTGCAGGTACCATCTGTGCATGTTTGGGCCACTGCCAAAGGAAAATGACCTTTCGTCCCTGAGTATCTTTCACCCTGCTGTCTTTATCTGGCTGTTTCAAGTAGTTGCAAGACATTTTCTATTTGATTGTCATTTAGAGGCTGTTTGTTTGACCCCATCTCTCCTTTCTGTGCTTTCTCAGTTCATAAAAGGACAGGTAAATTTTTACACCAGCTAGAAAGTCCACTGATTCACCAGTCAGCCTTTGCAAGTCTCATTCTCTTTTGTCTGTTCCCCTAGAAATTAATTTCTGTATTTATCTATCAGTGAAGATTGTACTATTCCACTGTGGATTAGTAAGGTAAGAGGTAGTCACCTGCAGTTTCTAAAGCACTGCAAAGAGAGGAGGCAGCACAGAGAGATGTCCTTGCAATGGGAGTATCATTACCGATGCAGGTGGCTTGTGTACGTGAAACAGAGAGTGATCTACAGGTGAGAGGCTCTGTCTCCTGCTGTGTTCCTTCCTTTCTTCAGCTGTTGATTCCCATTAGTTTAGATAAATGGATTTATTTTTCCCCACAGAAAGCTGGTGAAGAGGAAAAGAGGTAACAAGGAACTGACAGAGAGTGTGAATCCCAGATAAATACAATAAATCAGCAGATGTTATGTAAAAGCCTATATCTGACAAATACAATTCTTCCTATTTAATGGAGTCTCTTTTCTTTCTAACAGATGCCCTAAAATTGGCTGTAGCCATGCTGATGTAAAAGGATCAGATCTTGTGCCAGATGAAGTACTTAAAAGAGCGATTGACAGTCACAATAAACAAAGCTGGTCAACACTGGAGAAGTCACCTGGATACGCTGCTGCCACAGAAAAAATTTGTTATTAGAGGTCTTGTGAGATAAGCTGCTGATTGTAAGTAGGTTGTGTAACTGATTGTTATTTAAAGTGTTTCATTTATAAGCAAAGTTGAAGGACTCAGCTGTAACTGAAAGCATTTTTTAAACTGTCAAATACGAGGAATTCCAGTTAACCTTCCTGAAATTCTAAAAGCTTGCATTTGATAAATAAAATGTGTTTTGCAGCACTTAACCTTCCTTGTCAGTGTGCTAATTTTTTTTTGTACATTAGAGATGCAGATTCTGCCGGCATATAGAATCATAGAATCATAGAATCATAGAAAGTTTTGTGTTGGAAGGGACCCCTAGAGGTCATCTAGTCCAACCCCCCCGCAGCGAGCAGGGACACCGCTAACTAGATCAGGTTGCTCAGAGCCCTGTCCAACCTGGTCTTCAATGTTTCCAGGGATGGGGCCTCCACTACCTCTCTGGGCAACCCGTTCCAGTGTTTCACAACCCTCATTGTAAAGAATTTCTTCCTTATATCCAGCATAAACCTACCCTGTTTTAGTTTAAAACCATTCCCCCTCGTCCTGTCACTGCTGTCTCTGCTAAAAAGATTGTCCCCATCTTTCCTATAGGCTCCCTTTAAGTACTGAAAGGCTGCAATCAGGTCTCCCCGCAGCCTTCTCTTCTCCAGGCTGAACAAGCCCAACTCTCTCAGCCTGTCCTCACAGGAGAGGTGCTCCAGCCCTCGGATCATTTTTGTAGCCCTCCTTTGGACCCGCTCCAACAGTTCCATGTCCTTCTTGTGCTGAGGGCTCCAGAGCTGAACGCAGTACTCCAGGTGAGGTCTCACCAGAGGAGAGTAGAGGGGCAGAATCACCTCTCTCGACCTGCTGGCCACGCTTCTCCTGATGCAGCCCAGGACACGGTTGGCCCTCTGGGCTGCCAGCGCACATTGCTGGCTCATGTCCAGCCTTTCATCTATCAGCACCCCCAAGTCCCTCTCAGCAGGGCTGCTCTCGATCCTTTCATCCCCCAGCCTGTACTGATACCGGGGATTACCCCAACCCAGGTGTAAGACCTTGCACTTGGCCTTGTTGAACCTCATGAGGTTCCCACAGGCTAATCTCTCCAGCTTGTCCACGTCCCTCTGGATGGCATCCCGTCCTTCTGGTGTCTC